TATATATATATATATATATATATATATATATATATATATATATATATATATATATTATTATTAGCAAACACTAATCGCATCACTACTGTATTATTATCAGACGGAACTATCTAGCTCGCGGTATAGATTTCGCCGTCATTCTAGCTTCCATAAAATAACTATAAAAATGCAAAAATTTGCATAAATATCCGCAGTCTTGATATTATAAAATTAGTTAGTATTAGTTAATATTATAAAAAGTTACAAATCAACCTGCAACATGCTGAATAGTATAATAAATACCGATGCGAGTGTAGGTACACGTACCTGATATGTGAACTCGCATCTGCCACCGTTCTGACACTTTCGTCCGATGCAGTAAGGAACATTACAAATTGAGCCTTCGTAACCAGGCTGACACGTGCAAGTAAAATTATCACCGGTCTTTGGATTGACAACGTCTGTGCAGACGCCGTTCTTGCAAGGTTCGTTCTCGCAGGTGATCAAACGGAAATTCTGGCACAATTCGCCGGTGAACTGGTCCGGACACTCGCAGCGGAAATAACCAGGAAGATTTATGCAGACTCCATCGTGCTGGCAGGGACTGAGAGTTACGCACTCGTTTATATCACTGTCGCATCTATAACATAAAGATAAGATTGATAAGTCGGCATGATATCTTTGGTTTTATCGCGCGATTGATCATGATTTCGACGAAACGAATGACACTTTCGTGCGATTTTATCGAGAGAAATAAGTGATTTAATTACAATTACAGATGTAAGATCTTTTTAATGATATTTTATTATTTTATTTATTATTTATATATTATATTATATATATAATATATATTAATATTATGTATATATATATAATTATATTTATTTATATTATTTTATTTTATTTATTTATTATTATTTTTTTAAAGATTAAGATTTTTCATTTCGATATCATGCAATATCCGAATATACTTTTTTTTTCTTCGTAGAAATTCTTTCTTTTCAGTTGAATCACACGACAGTGTATATTTTCATCGTTACAAATGTTGTGATAAGTGGTAATATTATAAGTGTGTCTAATTTGTCTTAAAAAAGAAGAAATTTATGTCAAGCGAAGTTGAATGAAAGATTTGGTTTATACTAACAGCCATCCCTGCCATCCACTGTTGCACACGCATGTGTAATTAGCGATGCCGTCTATACACTTGGCTCCATTCTCGCATTTATTGTTGATACATTCGTCAATATTGAAGGAACAATCGTCTTCCGTGTAACCCGCAGGACACTCGCAAACGTAACTGTTCGCTTTATCAAGGCAGTATCCAGAGTTTTTGCAATCTTCGTCGAAGCAAAGTTGGCAACCGATGCTTTCATGATGCGTCGAATTATTTTCTTTTAGTATTAAATATTCCAAGGGTGTAAAGTTCGCGTTCTGATAAACTTCTGCGTATGTAAAATAATGTAGCAGCATGCTGCCTATTCGTACTTCGCCCAAACATCCTTTGAAGGCCTCTCCTGCAAAACGGAAAGAGTTTTGTTACAGGAAAGGTTGCACAATTCATTCGAATCAATAAAAATATAAGAAGGATATTTCAACGCTTCGTTAAAGACATATATATATATTGCTTTGTAACAGCTTTAGTGGATCACCTTGTCTAAGTATAAGGATCATCGGAGTCTCTAACCGATAACAAAGCAAGCGAAAGTTGAATTGAATCGCAGCCTTACCAGACATTACATTATGGGGCGGCGAAACGGTGGTTAACGAGCGTTCGTTGAAGTCTATCGAATTATCTTGTATGCCGCTCCTGTTTTCCAACATTTGTTTACCGGAGCCGATGGTCACATAACTGTGTCGCGCGGACAAACTGGAACCCAATCCGCCCAGGGTCACCGTCCCGGTCACCAGTAAATCGTACCACAGAGCGAAATTGAAATTCGGGCTGACGTGCGACGCGCTCTCCTCGTTAGAATTCGCGTAGCCGCACTCCATCGAATTGTTATTCAATCTCAGTACTATGGACGTCCAATTTCCGTCAGCCTCGGCCTTGCCGAAGCTCAGCGTCCCCTGATTTTGCATATCGAGCCGCCAAGACACGGTGATCTTGTCCTTGTAAACGGATACCGTGAAATGCTGATCGCCGACGCGCGGCGCGACGTGCATCAGAGTGCCACCGGTGTTCGACCGGTACGTAATTTGGATCGTATCGATCGTCGAATCGGTCACGTTCTTCTCCTCCACTTGATTGTACACGTAAGTGAAGGAGGTCGTTATGCCGTCGAAAGTGGCGTTGGCGATGCACTCGTAGCCGTCGTCGAGGTTGACGCACTTCGACCCGGCCGGGCAGTCCTGCAGTTGACAAAACTCCATCTCCTGGCAGGTCTTGCCGGTGTATCCTCGCGGGCATTGACACCAGAAGTCGTTCCACGTGACGTGACAGGTACCGTTGTGGTTGCACGGATTGCTCACGCAGACGTTGTCCGACACGACGCCCTTCAAGACCTTGTCGTTGTCGAAGGTCACGTTGCCGAATTGAATTAGAGTGGGTATGTCGTTCGCCTAAAGAATCACAGAAAAACCGTTTTAGTTGAATAAGGCGTCTAATAGGGATCTTGGCAAGTTACGATCCGATGGATCGGACGAACAAAGACGCAATATGTGGGGTCGTATAGTAAGCAAGCCTGTCAAGGTCTAAAAGCGACTGATTTTGTTGCTTTATGGTAATAACAAGATTGAAAAGTTTAAGATTTTTCGCCATTTTAATGTAATATGTATTTGAGTTCAGAACTCTGATTATTTTCTAGGAAACAGTCTTTAGAATATCAACAATTTTCAAAGAAAAAATCTGAAACCTGTTAGAACTAAGAATACTACTCTTGTAAATGATGAGTTCTGAAATATCATTTAATTTCTGCGCGTGGTTGTGGTGTTGTTTCGACCAATCCTTTCAATGTCAGGAAAGAAATTATAAATTGTCTGTGAAGCAGAAAATTTGTTTAAAATATTTGAGTAGAAAGCAAATGTAATTTCCAGATGAACTTGTACACGTTTATTAAAATAAATGTGTAATATTAAACTGAGAAATAAAGAACAAAAAATTATTCTCCTGTATTTTTGCGTTTCACTTTTTATTCTAATGCACTGTTATAGCTATACAGGGTGTCATATAACTTGCACACCTGGTATAACTTTTATACATTATGCATCTAATTCAAAAATATTAAATACAAAAGTTGTAAAGTTTCAAGGGGTAAGATGACGATGTATTTACCATTTTTTTAAAAATAATATAGTATTCGAAATTTCAAGATCAATTGTCTCTTTTTAGTGGAAAAGCATATTTTACTTGTTATACGTAGATCGAATAAATATTGAATTTTAAGTAGAACAATATAAGCCTATGTACATGCTAAACAAAATGGTTAACGAGATTTTAAGATTAGTCGATCGCAGGACGATAGTTGCGTGGCATCGTCAAAGAAGTTCTACACTGGCTAAAATCTTGTTAACCATTAACTTTTCTATAGTTTTCTACTTATTTAATATTCTTTCGATTTACAATGCGCAAAGTTGACCTTGAAATTTAGAGAACTACACTATCTACCAAAAGTGTGAATACGTCATCATCCTTCCCTCGATCTTAAAACTTGTCATTATTATTATTTAACTATCCTATATTAAAAATCTCTGCTTCACAAAAGAGTGCTATACTTCTGTAGCTATACTGCTATATCTCAAAGGGAATTAATAAATTAATAATAAATTAATAATAAAGAATTAATAATAATAAGGAATTAATAATAAAGAATCACTTAAGAAACTTAATAATACACATTATCAACGCTAACAAATCTGAAGTACGGATTTCTCTGGAAGAAAGAACTTCGTTTTCTACGTTCTTCGAGACAGCTTTTGTTTTTCAGAGAAATAGATCTATTTGTTCTAAAGCGTTCAATCCGTTAATGTAAAAGTGTTCGATTAAAGTACGTTTATGTCGGAGCTGTTACAAATCATAGAAATGTCGATACCTCAGTTATCGAATTTAACGAGGAAAACACGATTAAATCTTTATTGATTCGAACAGCAAATAGCGATGTATATGGTGCGCCTTAGACGAAGTTATGTACACGCGGAGCGTGCTTAGTTAATAAATAATTCAAATATCAGCTGCCATAATTGAGAGACAGTGATATAATTCTTTTCTAGAATTCTTCTTTGTGAACTCTCGAATAACTGAAATTCAGCAGTCGTCACAGTTGCGTTCTAAACAAACCAAAGAAAAAGACCATTCGTATGTTTTATGACAGCTTTCATTAATGCTGTTATGGTTTTTATCACAGCTCCAGTATAAACGTGTCCTAACGTGTATATTCGAGAAAATCTGCTGAGACAAGCTTTAGCTGACTGGGAGCAAACTAGAAGTATTCTCTTACCTCTAGAGGGAAGAACTGAACGACCATGCTATCGTATCCGTTCGATATTTGAACATCTTGAATGATTCCTTTGAAGTTCACTTGCGGCGCCTGCGGTACTTCAATCTGACGATTATCGACTTGGCGTATGTATCTGGACGCTTGCGGCAGTCCTCCCAGGTATAAAACGGTGACGTTCAGCTGGCCAGACGCGCTGATAGTTTTCCGAAAATATTCGGTACCATTGATCTTCACCTGGACCAGCGTCACGTTCCGAATCACCTGTATCAAATGATTGTTCCCGTCGTTCAGCTTCACACCGCCGACCGTGTACGCTTCGGTGCCGTTAAATTGTATTCTAACAAGCAACTCGCCGCCTTCCAATTGCGCGGCTATGTACGTTTTCTCTTGAGGTTTGACATCCGTTTGCAAACTCGGCTCCGAGCCCAAGTAAAATATGTCGCCTCTATCCTGCCTCGTACGGATGAACATCGAGATGTCAACGATTGATCTCACCGCCTTTCGAGCCGTGTCGGTCACTTTCACCGTCACGTAACCGTTCGCAATCTTCCCGTACCCGAACGTGGCCGCTGTCATGTTGTATTGGCAAGTGTGGCCGAGGTACGGCCGCTCGCATTCGCAAGAAAAATCGCTCCAACGGTCCGTGCAGTACCCGCCATTTTTACAAGGGTTCGGCGAACATTGGGCCTCTCGCGGGCAGCCTGGTTCCACGCCCTCCATGTGCACCGTTTTCGACGACGTGCCGGAGTACACCTAAACACAGTTATTTGTTTTGTAACTTGATAAGAGGTTCTACGGGATATTTCATTTATGGCAGACGGAGTCATTTTTGTTCTCGAGCTGAGTTGAACAAGAAGTGCTTCTGAAATCGGAAATCTCGTCGAAAGTAAGTCTTAACGTTCATCGACGAATTAGAGAGTCCAAATATTAAAATAGAATATTAAATTTTAAAACAATTATTGTGTTTACTATTACTATTATTTACTGTTATTATTATTGCACAATTCTGTTAGCTGTAACGGAAGACAGAACTAGACTGCGAATCTTTATGGAAAATAAAATGTAACTGCAACAATTGTATAAAATAGGAGTAAAATCAAAAAATGCATCGCTTCTTTTGATAGTTTCAATGAATTGAAAATAATAGAGCAATATTTTTAAATGGTGATGTTTTCATTATTCTGCATCGCTCTTATGAATTTTTACTATAGTTTACTTAATTTACTATACTATGTAATTACTATAATTCCATGATATCACTACTAATGCACTTCAAAGAAGAAATACCTTCAAAGGGACCAAATATTGTCTATGAATACTTCCAATATAATTGATCTTTAATTTTGTATTTCAAGTTATCTCTAATTTGTTAGTGACTGCTTTTATGTATCATTAGATGAAATATACCAAATTGGTTGGCATTCGATACATTGCCACACACGACTCCGGGCTAAATTAGTAGCAAAAAATTAATATAGCAACGATGAAGCGTGTCGTACCCATTCGCCGTTAATGACGACGTCTTCGGTACACCCCACGAAGAAAAAAGGACCGTGGCTTAGCCGGCGTAGGTAATTGCTGGTCCCGCCGACGTAAGTCATCGGGAAAGACGTGTGATTCGAATTGGATCCCTCGGTCAAGCTGATAGGATAAATCGTCTGCTCCTCGTTGGCCGAGAGCACCAAGTGCGTGGCGTTAATTGCAACGAACACTTTCTGCCAAGTGGAATCGTTCAAGTCGTTGCCGATGAATACGCCGCCCCATTTGTTCAAGAGGCTCGAGTGCAGGTTCAATTTGCCGTCGACAAGTTCCAGAATATAAAATGTCGATCCTTTGCCGATGGCGAGCAGCCCGTACGGAAGCGTCGTCCGGAAACGGAATTGTATGTCGTAGCCTTCGTCTCGTGTCGTGTTCACTAGGACGTACGAATTGCCGCTCAAAGACATCGTTGTGACCTGTAAAGGTGCCATCGAATTATCTGGTTTTGACAATAATCGAGGAATATAACAGAAATCTGAAGCGAGCATGATGTACTCACGTAATCGCAAATTTCTCCGTGGAATCCATTCGGGCAAGTACAATTGAATTTATGTATTGTCTCGTTGACGAGATACGGCCAGCACGTTCCCCCGTTTTGACAGGCGTTTCCTTGGCAGCCAATCAGCTCCACCGAACAATTCTTCCCGCCGTACTCCGGATCGCACGTGCACGTGTAATCGGCCCTGCCATCGGTGCACACACCGTGCTCGCATGGAGTGTACCGTTTACACTCGTCGATATCGTGCTGACAATGATCCCCTTCGTAACCGTCGTCGCATTCGCAAACATACCCGCCGATACGATCCACGCAGTTCCCAGCTTTGCAAGGGCTGCTTTCGCATTCGTTGATGTTCACCTCACAATTTTTACCCGCTACACCTTGGACGCAGAGGCACTCGTAACTAAAAGAAAAAAAGATGCGATGAAAATTAAATGGGAATTTTAATGAAATGTTTTGGAAACACGTATCCGCGGTGTGCCGTTATTAATCCTCGGATTGGCGGTTGCCGGGTGATTTTAATTGAAAGCATTCAAAGCGTCACCTGATTACTAAATTTTCGCCGTAAACAAAATTGATGTAACACCAAGAATAACAGTAAGACTAACAAGTCTATCAAAAGTATTTTCGTAAATACGTTTTGAACGATTTGTTGAATGAAGCTGAGAATGGCCATAGTTAATTATAGTTATATAGTAATTTGTATATATTATATTACTATATTGTATATATTATATTACTTGTATATATATTACTATATAGTAATATATATAGTAATTTGCAAATTATACACTCTATACGTAAGAAATGAGACTGATAATTATGTTGAAAACGAGTGTTATCTCTTGGTAGATCCGAGCTCATATCATTCATCTTGAACTGTTATATTCAATGCTGTTATTTGAAAATAAAATAATATCCATTCATTTGGAATAACAGCAATTTCAAGCGAACTATTCCGTTATTTTTTAATCTCAAATATGACAAAATATCCTCAAAAATAATATGCAACGAAAAGATTTTACTTGACAAAAATCTGTACAGCAATTTGTTGCATCAATACGTAAAACGGAAGAAATCACAACAACCAGAGTTCTCAGACAAATAAGTCATCGAAGGGAACAGACGGCGCATACGCCAGGAGCCTATACAGCGGCGTGGCACGTCTACCACGTGATCATTACAATTCCAAACGTAGGATTCACGGCGCATGCGTCCCCTATTCTCACTCCTGAAACGAAGTCGACATAACATTGTGACTTATTTGTCCGAGAACCTTGCTCGCAACCGAGTGCAGCGATATAATCATAATTTCGAAGGTTTTTCTTGCGCGACACCCACCCACTCGCGTTCGCATAGTTGAATTCCTGATTGAAGATCGAAGGTAACGTCTTCGCGTCGCTTTTGTACAGTTGCCTGTTGGACCTCTCGAGACAGGTGCCGTTGTATTGGCACGGCAAGTTCTCGCACTCGTTTATGTCCACCTCGCAGTCCTTGCCGGTGTAGCCGGGATAGCATCGGCATTTATAGTTCTTGATGTCGTCTATGCAGGTAGCGCCGTTCACGCATGGCTCCGACCGGCAGTCGTCGATGTTCTTCTCGCAGCGGGCGCCTTCGAAGCCGGTGTCGCTGCAGTCGCAGGTGTAATTGTTGATGCCGTCGATGCACCGGCCGTGGTTCAAACAGGGCACCGGCTCGCAGTCGTCGATATTGATCTCGCAGTTGAATCCGCGGAAGCCGGGCGAACAGAAGCACATGTAATTGGCGATCTCGTCGACGCACGTCGCGCCATTTTTGCAGGGATCGCTCTCGCACTCGTTCACGTCGACGTCGCAGGTTTTCCCGGAGTAACCAGGCGGACATTGACACTCGAACGTGTTGATACCGTCGATGCACGTGGCGTTGTTCTTGCAAGGCCCGCACAAGCACTCGTCGATGTCGATGTCGCAATGGTCCCCGGAAAAACCGGGCCTGCAGAAGCAGTTGTAGCTGCCGTCCTTGTTCACGCAGATCCCGTTGTTACAGAGAGCGCTGCCTCTCACCTCGCACTCGTCCACGTCCTCGTCGCAGACTTGTCCTGCAAGACCGGGGCAGTTTTAATCATTGATCGGTTTAATCATCGCCGGGCGGACTCTGGGTTGTTCCAAAATAGTAAGTACCTTCGGGAAAGAATCTAGAATTTCTAAATATACAATTGAACTTGATTCCATCACTGATACAGCACATTCCAATATTCTTTTCTAAACGAAATCGAAAACAGTCGATTCATCGCAATGGAAGCGAATAATTGCTAGCCGGAGCTCACCTTGGAAGCCGTCGTTGCAGTTGCATTCAAAACCATGTTCTCCAAGATCGATACAGGTGCCGTTGTTGCAAGGTTTCGTCGCGCAGTGGTCAACGATCAGAGTGCAATTAGGGTCCCTGTATCCTTCGTGGCACTTGCACTCGTAACCGGCGATACCGTCGACGCATATTTTGCCGTCGGGGCAAAGCACGTCGACGCAGTCGTCCACGTTGATGTCGCAAACCTTCCCCTCGAAGCCCGGCGGACACTTGCAGACGAATTCGCGCCGCGACCTCGACAGAAGCGTGCAGTTCCCGTTGTTCTTGCAGGGGTTCAAGGCGCAGGCATTGTACTCCCGTTCGCAGTTCTCGCCCATGAAATCTTTCGTGCAGTTGCAAGTGTACCCGTTGATTTGGTCCGTGCACGTGCCGCCGTTTTGACACGGCTGCGATGAACATTCGTCGACGTTGAACTGGCACATCTTTCCTGTTTCAAAGAAAACGGCTGCTGTGAAACATCGATGGCAACGTACAGAAGCGCACGGCTTAAACATGGATTCGGGAACTGCATTGTAAATTTGACGGACCAGGGCAGTCGGGAAAAATAAGCATACGCGAGCATAACAATTCTGAATTACGATCAGCTTACGTCAAGGTAACCGTCTTGGTTTACGTCATTCATATTATCCGCTACGAGGAATGTTGTAAATAAACATTGTAAAGAAATTTCCAATTTTAAAGCATTTACGAAGGTTTTCTTTCAATGTTGAATTATGCACACACATACACACGCACTCTCGCATCGATATTTCTTATTAAAAAATTACTGAGATACGTATAAATAAGAACGATTAGTTTGTGGAATAATTATTATTTAGGAGACTCATATTTAATGGTTCATTAGGTTTTTGTATCGATCAGTTTCAAACGATTGAATTGAAGTAATCGAGGATTATTCACGCAATAGTTCAATATACAGGGTGTCCCAAAAATGTCTCGCAATTCGAAAGTTGCGGGTTCCTCAGGCCATTTGAAGCAACTTTTTCCTTTACAAAAATGTTCTCCGAGGCACCGTTAACGAGTTATTAACGAAAAACAGTGACCAATGAGAGGCGAGCTCGGCTGGCGCGAGGCAACCGAGCCAACGAGCGGAACTGGGCTTCGTGCGCTGGTTGGCTGGGCCGCCTCGCGTCAGCCGCACTCGATTCTTATTGGTCACTGTTTTTCGTTAATAACTCGTTAACGGTGCCTCGGAGAACATTTTTGTAAAGAAAGAAGTTGCTTCAAATGATCCGAGGAACCGCCATTTCCGGATTGCGAGACATTCTTGGGACACTCTGTATTTAGTTTCCATTTTATATGACAAAGTGCATTTCATGCATATGAAATCGAGTTTTGCGACTTATAGAACAGTCTCAGACTTTTAACAATTCTTTTTATATCTAAGCTTTGATAGTATAAAAATTATCTTGGAACGTAATGTAACAATTTTAGAGATGCCTCAGAGTCACCACTCGAGTGCAAAGGGTTAATAGCAAAACCGAAAACACGTAGCACCTTTGTTAAGTTTTAAATGATGTGGCAATTGTTTACATCGAGCGGTCTAATTTCATTTCAACGATGCTTTGTTAATAAGCAACTTCGCCAGCAATTCCTTCGATATTGTGCGAATATTTACGCGAAATTCGACGTATGAGTTTGCAATACTCGAGAAAACAACAAAGATTGTCGACGAAGAAAGGCTCCTTATAGGAAATGATCGAATAAGTTTCTTAATCCAAGCCTACGATATAGTAAATTCTTATAAAACACACATTAATCGCTTTTAGTGCACGCAAGTTTAGAAGTTAGCAAGCACGTGATTTGAAAACCTAGTGCTGATCCAATGGGATCAGCACATTCATGCCTTTCACACAAATAAAATGTCCATTCGACAGCTTGCAAAAGTCAGACGTAGTTAAAAAAAGAAGAGAGAAAAAAGAATTGAAAAACCTTCGCAGATCCTTCATATACGTCTATCCGAAACGATCGGCAACGTTAAAATGTATCCTTTCACAGAACTGCGACTTTCGCCGCGGATAACAATAACGACGTAAATCAGGAGGCACACGCTGCATAATCCTGTAAAAACGTAAAAACTCTTGGGTATATTTATAACTCTAATCAGCGTTTAAAATCTGTCACGAAGGACACGCAATGGGATCGCGATGACAAAAAGGAGCGGCGAAGCGTGCAAGTAGTTGCAAAGAAGATCGGATTAGCGGAATGAGATTGGCAAAGCGAAGCTTCGGTGCGAAATAAAGGCGAGTTGGAAATCGGGTGATTACCGGTGTATCCCGCGAGACATTGACAGTAGTAGTTATTCAGCTGATCGATGCAGATCCCTCCGTTGCGACAAGGATTGCTGGAACACTCGTCCACGTCGACGGAGCATTCGGGGCCTGTCCAGCCTGGTTCGCAGGTGCAATAATAGCCGCCGGGCTGTACGGTGCGAGACATAACAAACAAAGCAAGAGACCACATAGAGATAGTTTCGATGGTAACACACGCGCACGCGATTAATCCGGCTGCACGTGCATTCCAAAAGCCGTGTGCGCAAAGGTGTCTCACTCACATAGTCGTGGCAAGCGGAAGCTTGTTTGCAAGGTAGATCGCGACAGGTGATTGGGTCCTTGCACTGGGGCCCGGACCAAAATCTCGGACATTGACACACGATACCGAAATGCGTCTCGAGGCAACTGCCCCCGTTGTAACAGGCCGAGCACCATTCCGAGGCGGCCGATAGGCACGTCGCTCCTGACGGTCGACACACCACGCAAAAAAACATGTTAAACAACGAGAGATGGGATACAGTTCACTACGCGCGCTTACGAGTCCGAGTATAAGAGTAAATTTTACACAATTTGAGGAGCGGAGATACGATTGTTCGAACCTGTTGTGCCTCGTTTTCATAGTTGTTGGCAATTGGAAATTATAAAAAACGAGCCGCGAGGCTTAAACTTTTAGGCACGACGCGCCGCTATAGTGGCGGATATCATCTTTTAGAACGACGCGTCACTATAGTGGCTTGCTCTAGTAGCTCACTCGCTCATCGTTCGAACCAAATAATCGTCTTCATATGCATTGTTTCACGCTTCTTTCGTCTTCGCATCGTTTTAGAACAGTCTACAGGGCGTCCCAAAAATGTCTCGCAATCCGGAAATGGCGGGTTCCTCGGATCATTTGAAGCAACTTCTTCCTTTACAAAAATGTTCTCCGAGGCACCGTTAACGAGTTATTAACGAACAAACAGTGCGCCAATAAGAATCGAGTACGGCTGACGCGAGGCGGCCCAGCCAACCAGCGCGCGAAGCCCGGTTCCGCTCGTTGGCTCGATCGCCTCGCGCCAGCCGAGCTCGCCTCTCATTGGTCATTGTTTTTCGTTAATAACTCGTTAACGGTGCCTCGTAGAAAATTTTTATGAAGGAAAAAGTTGCTTCAAATGGCCCGAGGAACCCGCCACTTTCGGATATGTACTAATTAAATGATAATATTACACTTTATCCCATCTCTATCGACAACACAAAACATTCAGGCAGGACAAACATCGCGACACAAGGGAAACGTTCGCAAGAAGAAACAATAGAGTTATGTGTGTGATGTTAGTTAATTAGTTATAGTCAGTCGAGGAACTCGACGGAAGTGTTCACTGTGTTTCGTGTTTGAAGTTCTACACGATGCGATGAAAATCGTAATGCGAAGGATGTGATCGTAACAATAAATTATTTGTGAACTGTCAGGCGACGATTTTTAGGAAACTGTGCCACCTTCTAGAACAGCAAGATGGGGTGTCCCAAAATTATGGTATTTCCGGGAAATTAGAGATTCCTGAAGTCATTCGAAGCAACTTTTTCCTTTACAAAAATGTTCTCCGAGGCACCGTTAACGAGTTATTAACGAAAAACAGTGACCAATGAGGGGCGAGCTCGGCAGGCGCGCGGCGGCTAAGCCAACGAGCGCGCGAGCCCCAGTTCCGCTTTATTGGCTTGGCCGCCCTAGCGCCAAACGAGTTCGCCCCTGATTGGTCAGTGTTTTTCGTTAATAATTCGTTAACGATGCCTCGGAGAACATTTTTGTAAAGGAAAAAGTTGCTTCGAATGACTTCAGGAATTTGTGACCCTCACTTAATCATATTAGAGTTAAGAAATATAATTAGAATTCTGACTGAAGGACCGTATATACGAGGTTCCAGCGTCATGGAATAGGGTGTTAGAAATTCGCCAGCTTGTAACAAAGAAAACAGTTAAACGTACTGCCTCTCACAAATGGTATTTGTATAGCAATTTTCCAACAAATCGTCAACTCTCTTTTCGTTAATGCAATTTCCCAGTATCAGTGGGACTTCTCAATCGTTCTACTACGTTAAAGGGTGACCGTGGAGTCTGCCGAATACGCATAGTTTACGTACACACTTTCCTCGGTGCCTTACCTTTCAATTCTGGTGGGCAAGTGCAGTTATACCCGTCCTTGTTGCTGGTGCAAGTGCCGCCATTCTCGCACGGGTTGCTGGCGCAGTAGTTGATGGTGCAGTTCGGAGGGTTGCCCATGTAGCCGGGGTTGCAAACGCATTGCGGGCCGTGCGCGTCTTCCACGCAAATGCTGTTCGGCGGGCAGGCCGCGTTCTCGCACAAGCTTCTTAATTCGCAATGCCGGCCAGCGTATTCCGGCGGGCAATTGCAATGGTACGAGCCGACGTCGTCCACGCAATCGCCGCCGTGCTTGCACGGGCTCGACAGACACTCGTTCAGATTGAACTCGCAGTTCTGACCCTCGAAGCCGACCGGGCAATTGCAAATGTAACCGCCGTACAGGTCGAAACACACGCCTTTGTTTAGACAGGGATCCGCCGTGCATTCGTCGATGTCGATCTCGCAATCGACCCCTTCGTATCTGCAAAAGGAAACGATGTTGTCAACTCTCGATCGGAACGAATGAAAGTATAGGCGTGTATGTGTATCTAAATAATTATACTGCATCGATGAGTGATCGTGCTGCAGTGATATACATATGTACAGTTAAATATAAAACTTAAAATTTAATATTAAATTTCAAAGAATATTGTAACTTGAAAAGTTTTCCAAAACAAAATGTAGACGAGCAGTAAATTGTTTTGAAATTTATGTAGTTAAAAAATGTTTTGAATCGCATAAATTATGTTTTTAAATAAACTGACTATTGCTTTTTTCAATTTGAAGCATCTAAAATTATGTCGAATGGACTTGGACTTCTGCAAATTTTACAACGAATCTGGTTCTTAATTTTGAAAGTGGCCTAAATCCATTCTCGGTAAGAAGACGCATGTTATTCACTTAATAATCGCCATTATTTTAATAGGAACTATAAATTCAACTCCTTTAGATACATTTAAACATTAGATACATAAACGGCTCATATTCGACAGATTCGCGTCGTCGTCGTAAACGCATAAAAATCCGCAATCCAGCGATTAGCTTATAATAAATTACATTACACAATAAATTACAATACATTGCATAAATTACATTACAAAACCGAAAGGACGAGCATAAATAAAAATCTACATACCCGGTTCGATCGCATATACACGTGTAGTTGTTGATGCCGTCGATGCAAACGCCGTCGTGCTTGCACGGGTTAGGGTTGCACTCGTCGAAATTGATCTCGCAATTCTTGCCCGTCCATCCGGGCAGGCAGTCGCACTTATATTCGCTGTCGGTGAGTGCCAGGCAAACGCCGTCGTTTCTGCACGGGCTTTGCTCGCAGAACCGTGCCCCGAGCTGCGACTCGCAGTACGTTCCGGTGAATCCGGGCTTGCACGTGCAACTGAAGTCTCCCTTCTGATCTTCGCTGCACGTGCCGCCGTTGCGGCACGGAACTTTCAGGCACGGCGAACCTGAAAAACCGAGTCGCGTTCAAGCCGCCGATCACGATTCGTTCCAGATGAAATTAGTAAACAAGAACCAATGGAAACAAATGAAAGTTTTGTGCGGAAGCGGTTAACGTCGGTTACGTCCCCAAAATGTCCAGACACCTCTCTATAGTGTACCATCCGGGAAACCAGCCATGGGAGGAAGGAACGCAGAGAAATGTTAACTTTCATGCTAATTCTACATTCGGAGTATAATCAAAGGCAGAGGAAGCACCGGGTTTTTTTCGCTGCTGTAGAAAGTAATGAGCAGAATAATGGGTATTCTCTCTTTTCATAGTATTCGTTGTTTCTCATGATTGATACGGTTGACTAGGTCAAGTGTTCGTAAGTCACGTGTGTATGCGAGTATCCGTATATAAGGGTGTCCCAAAAATGTCTCGCAATCCGGGAATGGCGGGTTCCTCGGATCATTTGAAGCAACTTTTTCCTTTACAAAAATGTTCTCCGAGGCACCGTTAACAAGTTATTAACGAAAAACACGGATCAATCGGAGAGCGAGTGCGGTCGGCGCTCCGCCCTCGCTACCGATGCCGCGTCGCGCCGGCTATCCGACGCAGCGGCAGTGATCGCGGGGGCGTGGCGTCAGTCGCGCGCGATCACTCATTGGTCCAGCGTTTTTCGTTAATAACTCGTAAACGGAGCCTCGTAGAAAATTTTTGTAAAGGAAAAAGTTGCTGCGAATGACCCGAGGAATCCGCCGCTTTCGGATTGCGAGACATTTTTGGGACGCCCTGTACATGTGAATGCGGTTCGAAAGCAATGATCCCAGCCTAAAATAATTGTTCGTGCAACCGCCAGTTTGAATTGCGGGATGAAGCTATTGGATGCTGAACCAAAGGCATTTTTCTCCGTAAGCCGTTAGGAAAGAGAAACAGTCGACAAAGAAGAGTAAAAGTCGTCGATTAGGTATAGACAACGGATTCATGGCCAAGCGGTGTTCTAAAGGAAATCGCTTATGTTTCTATTTTTGCAATTGCGGTGCAACGTATGCGACTGGTATAGCGCGCCGTACTATAACGAACGATATCTTATTAGAGACACGAAATCTAATTAAAGCGAGGAGAGCCACGCTTTGACACTCTCACGTGTAATCGAAAATCCGTCTACTCTTGGCAATTCGTGCGCGAATTCTCACGCGACACAACTTCCGATATCTCGCTATATTGTAAACCGATTTTCCTAATTTACGTTTAAAAACGTTTCATTATTTCGGTGAATTGTATTGCTGTTGTCGAAGTCTCATTTTTAGGAATCTAGAATTTATTTCTATTATGCAAAAAGCAATCGACATGAATCGCCACGCTCTTGGAAAAATGAATCAAGACGCGTCGCTGCCAGATAATGAAACAGTATCTCAAGAGGCGCATTGTGTCCGACACAATTTAGCCTCGTTCAGCAACCGGCACGGAATGGACTAAAATAAACAGTTTTCTGTTAAAAGTGTCCGCGATTATCCACGTTACGTCACACTTTTGACGATCGAAAGAGAATCGAGCGAATCGTAACACGTGATATAATAATTGTGCAAGGCCATGCATCCGTTTCTATTCTTCGATTCGTGCCGAAAACCTCGTGCACAACCGTCGAGGTCTACCATTATCAATATGACAGTTGTTGCCGGAATATCGGGCGTAACAGAGGCACTCGTAACGATCCTGTCGTGACACGCACTTGCCATGCATCATGCATGGCTCGTGACCACAGAAATCCATGGTGGGAATTGTGCTCGGTCCTACACCATCTCCGAGTCCGCTGCTACCACCTGAAAGTTTCGCAAAACAAAGTCTCCCATGCAATCCGCTACTTGTATAAGTGGCACACACACACGCATACACATACAAACGCACACACAACACTTGGAAATTTTGTATAAATTATGCGTGAGGGTTTTAATCCGAAAAAGTGTGCTGCGATCTCAAATTCTCTCTGGCGTCGACGGACAGCTATCGAAATACAATTGCCTCATAAAAATAACTAAAAAACCATTCTACGTGTACTTGATAGGATAAAGTTTTCTTATATCAGGACTTCTCCTAATATGCGACTCTACATATATGTATGTATACGCTTCGTTGAACGCGGACTGGCATATAATAT